GCCAATGCCTCCAGTTCACTGGGCTGCCTTTTTAATTGACAGTGGAGACCTTGTCACATCAGCTGGCCTTGTCCCATCTGAAAAATTGCTATTCTTCCTGAGGAATTAGACTTTAAAGTGGGCAAATGACATAAGAAGTTTGCATTTCGTTAGGAAGCCTGAAAGGGGAAAGGGGGGGTTGCCATAACCCCACTCTGTCACAGGCAGAAGAAAACCTAGACGCTTCGAAACCATTTTTTTGATTAACTATTTATTGTGTCCCCTAAAAGTTACTTTATTTAGAGGTATTTAAAGAGCCATAATTTTGCTGGGGGTGGGAGTAAGTTTTATTTGAAGGGAAAACTGACTCTCAAAAGGAGGAGGGTCATGGCTGGCATTGGGAATTAAACATCTACCTTCTCTCAAGAGCAATTTGGTTTTTGCTTCCTACTAACCTAGCTGTATAAAAGTTAAAGGCGATTTCTAAGATCACACATTGGGTGTCTTGCTAAATGGGAACTGGCCGTGGACTAAAAGCAAAGAATGCTTTTTTTTTTAAAAAAAATCACTATGAAGAATATTGAGCAGGGCTATGTTAATAAAATCATTAGATCCAGACTAAGTCTAAACAGTCTAATTCTGTAAATGTAGAACTAGGCATAAAAGCAAATGCATTTTACTCTTATGATTATTATTAACATTTTTAACGTGGGGGGGGGAAGCTAAGTAAAGAGAAAAAAAGTTTTAGACCCTGCTAAAGAAAACTAATAGGGAATCTATTAAAAAAGACTTTAAACAACATGCGCATTTAAAAAAAGAAAAAGAAAAGAAAGGCCAACAAACAAACCGAGCCTGCAGGGTTGCTATGCTGGCAGAAGAGTCAGAGCAAATGTGGGAATTAAATATCACCAAAGAGTGACAGGTATCTCAGAAATGGGAGAGCTCACGTTTCATGTACACTCAATGGACATTTATAACCAGGGATCTGTCAGGGTTTGACTGCAATTCAGAAAGCAGCAGGCTTCTAGACACCTGTCGCTGGCAAGGGATTTTAAGAACACACAGTACATTTATAACAATCATGCTTTACATAACGCTCTGCAGCTCATTGTCAAGTTTTTCCTAAGCATTACCTTATCTGAATTTGAAACCTGAGATCCTTCACTTACCTTGTAGTATTTGAGCTAAAGTCCCTGATATTTAATCTCTGAGTTTTGCTTTATTTGCCTATGAAATGAGGTCCTATCACATTTTTATTGCCCAGAGTTGCTTCACAGGGTATATACGACTAAATGAAAGGATCTTAAAAATGTATAATGCAATCAGAATGTGTTATCATTAATATTACTGGTGGCTAATAAGTATGGTGGGGTTTTCAAGTGTATACAGAGGGGGTGACTCCCAATTTTCTTTGCTTAAAACCAGTTTTCCATGGCATAGAATATGGACAAATGTAAAAAAAAATTGATCCACTAATACAGAAAAATTTTTTGAAGAAGAAAACTGTGGTGAGTTGGATTTTTTAAAGTAGGGCAGAATTTTGGCCTTTGAGAAGTATGAATAATATTGGGAAACAGAGAAAGGAAAATAATAAAAACCTTTAACTCTGCAGTACTTTTGTGGTCTCAGAGTTGGGCCTCCCCACAGCACCAAACAGCTCAGTGGAGGCCTTCTGAGTACAGTTTAAAATTAAAAAGAATGAAAGAAAAAAGTGCTTCTGCGAGATGGAATGTAATATATCACCATTGCACTTAGAGGCATAAATAAATTATCATACAATTAAATTGTGATTCATTGAATAAATAAAGTGTCACTGCAGAATGGCCATTATCGTATATAGTATTTGCTGCACAATTTTAATAAATGCAGCAGATACTAAGAAATGCTGATCTACTGGCCTCTTTTAATTCTTAAACAAGGAGGTAATCATGCCTAAAGGAAGTTTCAAAAAAGAAAGTTTAACACCACCACAATTGTTTAAAAAGGCAACAGAACCATGGAAATAGTCTATTATTGGATAATGCTGAGCTTCAACTCTAGATATTCTAGAATTTTCATCATGATCTTTATTTTTCTACGATTCCCTGTATGTACTTAAGCTGTTTGGGCAATAAAAGTAGGAAGGATGCACTCACAAGCACACAATTTTAAAGCAACAGATGAATCTACATGTCACAAATTAGGAGCCATACCAAAGGACAGCCGTTTGATGTGCATTTTTCAGTGGTAGCAATGTATGGATGTCTTGTTTTATATGGTGGAACTAGAAAGTTAGTAAAAAGTCTTGTCCTACATGTGGGTAAGTCCTCATCTTTTTTCCTCTCCCCTATCAGTAACTAAGACATGGATGCAATGTCTCACGTCCCCTCAGCAAAATGAACCCTGGTGGGAAATTATAGCCCGGTTTGACAACCTGCACTGCTATAGTGTCAGCTAGCAGGTAACGCTGGCTATGGCAGTTCAGGCTCATGCTAGATAAGGCCCAAAGTTTACTGGCCTGTTTTCTGAACTATGTTGTTCTGGATAGTTTCTGAACTATCCAAACACGCTTGGCTGTTAATCCCTAGGGAGCAAAGCCAGGACAATGGCAAGATGACCCCAGCAAATTTCCTTTTGTCAAGGTTAATTTTCCCCCTGAGGAGAACAAGGGGAATCCAGGGAAACTTCTATTATTCTTAAGTCCACATGGCTCCACATATGAACACTCTGCTGCAGGATTCATGGTTGCATTACCTGTGGTCTAAGCCTCTAGTCCCGATTTAAATGGACCATGTCCTCCTTACCCCTAATCCCTGGGAAAAATAGAAGACTCAAGTCATGAAGCTAAAGGGTATCTTAGTGGAGATCTGCCAGGAAAACTTCATTTGGCAGATGAGGCAAATGAGGCCGAAGCATGTAAAGGACACTACCAATTTGACAATTAGGGGTCAGCTGTGCACTGTCATGTGGGTCTCCTTTCTGCACCAGGCTCTGTCCTCCTACCCCCAGTTTACTGATTTGCTTCCCAGAGCTATGCTTAGAATATTGAAATGGGTCTGTTATGGCAAAATCAGTTGTCTGCAGGGAAGGCAGTGCCTTGTCATCGAAGGTTCTGTGGTTTTAGTGTAGTTGGGACATTTGAAATGTAAAATTACCTCCCTTTTGTATGTTTTGGGGCAAATAATATTGTGTCAGAGGGCGGGGTCATACATAAAATGATCATCACATCTAAAGCTGTGGGATGTCATAGGAAACATGTCATAATGGCATACAGCTATGTTGAGAATGCTAGTGATAGCACAGCCTTAGAAACTGTGATCTTAAAATCCCTTGAAATTTCTTAAAGAATAAAGTTGAAAAAATAAAGATTGTAGAGATTCACTTCTGAAGTTTCCATGTAAGCCACATATTTAGACTATTACTAATTGCTGCTTTAAGTGTGGCAAAGAGTTATTGCTTCAGGTTTGGGGTAAGAGGTCTTGTGGGGGGAGAGGGGCAAAGGGGAACTGGGGAGGGCCAGAGAAAGACCTGGAATTAGGGGAGAGGGTCTTACTGTGAGGTAAGGAAGGGAGTTCTGGAGTGAGGAGGTGGGAGGTAGAAGGCTGCCAAGGTACCCTTTTGGTGAGAATAGCATTATTTTAACTTTAATCAAAAAACTTTCAGTTTTTTTATTTTTTATTATTTGTTTGGTATTCAAAGCAAAGTTGCAGAAAACCTTACCTGTAAGCCTCTCTGCCCCCAGCTAAAGCTGCTTGAAAAAATTCACATGCAAAAATTTACATATTTAACAAGTCATATTCATGATTTTACCATACTTTGTCTACACATTTCAAATACACTCAAGAGCATTTTTTGAAATGTTTTATTTTAATTGCATTTCAAACACAACAGGACATTCCACTCCAAACTCATCACCCCCATTCTTTTTAAACCAAGCCCCTCCTACTGAACGCTTGTAAAAGTGTAAATGATTGGCTTACCTCGGGCTGTTTGCTAGAAAACAAAGTTCATATTTTTTTTTAAACACAGCCACGCCCACCCCCTTGGAACCAGCCCCGCCTGGTTTGGGATCCAGAGGTCCCTACAGCAGGTCAAGGGCCCCCCCCCCACCCTCATCCCGCCACCAGGTATGCTCAGCTTGTGCAGCACACCAAGTTCATCTCTGTATCCCCGATGCCCCAGATACCTGCGTGTCTGGTTTTTCAACTGTAAAGGCGGGAGGGTTTGGCGAACGAATGAGAAGTGAGGAAACGCTTAGCGCAAAGGGAAAAAGAGAGAAAGACAGACAGGAAAAAGGTTATGGAGGCCGGGGGAAAGCGGCCCGTTTCCCTCCCGTGGCCAGGGGCCCAGCGCATTACCCAGGATGCTCCGCCAGCTTCCCTGCGCCGCGCCGCACCGCAGAGCGCCCGCGCAGGTACCGCCGGAGTGCGCGAACACCGAAAGTTTCTTGCCCGCGCAATGGCGCAAACCACAAGACAGCCCGGTCCCAAGTACAAGTACACAGTCGGCGGGTAATTTGGGGGTGCCGGGATGGAAACACTTGAGCGTAACATGCACAGGCGAACACAGAATATGGACACCGACACACACCAACAACAAAGCCGTCTGAGTCCAAGCAGCCGTGCCAGGCGAGGCGGGGGCGCGCCTTTCCCAATGATTCCAGCCCACCATGGCCCCAACCAGCCTAGCCAGGGGAGCCCCGGGGCCCCTCCCCGGCAGTTCCTGGCTCACCTGAAGACCCTCACTGTCCAGCTTACGGTCGCTGGCCTTCGCCTGTCCAGCCGGAAACGACCCTCAGTGTCGCTCGGCATCACTTTTCTCCCTGGAGGGCATATACTTCGCCACCCGAGCCTACTCAACCTCCCCTCCCGCACCCAGGGCAAAGTTGGGGTCCCTCCATGGAACTTTCTAGCAGGGTTTTCCGATCTTTGACCGGACCCCCTCCTCCCACCGCCAAGCCACAGACCCACCGGGCAGCCCTGCCACCCTCTTCCCGGGTCCCTGGCGGCCCTGCTGCCCAGAGGCAGAGTCCGCCGCATTACCTAGCAGCAGCAGGCGGTGCGTACACATGTAGTCCATCTTCTCTTCCTGGAGTTGCTTGTCGATGAGCTTGCTGCGTTTCTTCTGTGCGCGCCTCTGAGCACGGTTCTCGAGGGTTTCTTTGCGCATCTGTCTGTGCCTCTCTGCCATGGGAACCTCCTTGACCTTGCCGGACTGCGAGGCTCTGGGCTGGGGGCTCTCAGATCGGCAGAAGCAGCTCCCGAATGCTTGAGAGAGGAAGTTGCCGAGCAAGTTACGCTGCGGCTTTCGGCTTCGGCGGCGGCGATTTCGCTGCAGGAGCCAGCGCCAGCATCCGGTGGCCCCATCGTCGTACTCGTCTCCGCTGGAGTCGCTTGACCCTTCGTCGTAGTACCCGAGGCGGCCACGGCTGCGCTCAGGTTTGCCCCGCCAGCCAGTCGCTCGAGTAGGCCGCGGAGTAGGCGGGTCGGCAGCCTGAATCTCGGGGCTGGGGGGTCTGAGGAGATAGGGGTTGCGTCTGGCCCCGGCGGCAGGGGCAGCTCGGGCGGCCCGGGCGGCGGCAGCTGCCCGGGCGGCGGCAGCTGCCCGGGCAGCAGGAGCGGCTGGACCTGCCCTGGCGGCAGGAGCTGCCCTGGCGGCAGGAGCTGCCCTGGCGGCAGGAGCGGCTGGGGCTGCCCGGTTGTCTGGAGCGGCTGGGACGGCAGGGGCGGCCCCGGCGTCAGGATTAGCCGGGGCTCCAGGGGCGGCCCCGGCTTCAGGATCGGCCGGGGCTTCAGGGTTGGCCCCGGCGTCAGGATCCGCTGGGGCTCCAGTGGCTGGCCCGGCATCAGGATCGGCTGGGGCTCCAGGGGCTTCCCCGGCGTCAGGATCGTTTGGGGCTCCTGGGTCTGCCCCGGCGTCAGAATTGGTTGGGGCTCCAGCTGCTGCCCCGGCGTCAGGATCGTTTGGGGCTCCTGGGTCTGCCCCGGCGTCAGGATCGGTTTGGGTTCCTCGGTCTGTCCCGGTGTTAGAATCGGCTTGGGCTCCCGGGTCTGCCCCGGCGTCAGAGTCGGCTGGAGCTCCTGGGTCTGCCCCGGCATCAGGGTCGGCTGGGGCTCCAGGATCTGCCCCGGTGTCAGGATCGGCAGAGGAGGCAGGGGCTGCCCCGGTGTCAGGATCGGCTGGAGCTGCCCCGGCGTCAGGATCGGCTGCGGAGGCAGGGGCTGTCCCGGTGTCAGGATCGGCTGGGGTGGCAGGAGCTGCCGCGGCAGCGGCAGGGGATCCGTCCCCGGGAGAGGGGACTTTTCCACCCTCTTCAGCAGCGGTGGCTGAGCTTCCTTCCATCTCGGCTGCTTCTCCCTCAACTGGGGGTCTCTCTGCTCGCTCTCTCTTATCTGGGGCTCCGCAGTCCTCGATGGGCGGGCCATGAAGCGCGATTGGGGGGCTGTCCATGTTGACGGGAGCGTCGTGGACCCCGACGGGGGCGCTGCCAATCTCGAGCGGGGGTCCGGAGATCTCCATTGGGGGGCTGTTGCGAGGAAGTCTGACAGCTCCTCGGGATGCGCTGCCGATGGCGCCTCGGATCCAGAGAAGAGGCGCGTTCCCGGCGGGAGCGACGCGGACCGCACCGGGGACCGGGACCGCCGCACCCGGGACCGGGACAACCTCGAACAAATTGCCGCCGTCGATTTGCGGGACGGGCCTGGGGAGTCCTGGGGGTGGGCTATCATCCCCAAATTCTTCTCCATCAAGCTGGAATGGCATAGCCTCCTCAGGGGGAGGGCTGTAGCTGCCTCCGAAGCCAGCAAATGCAGATCTGAGATCTTGGGGCTCCTCGGGAGGACCTCCGGGGATCCCAGCACCTGGGCCACCTGGAGCGAGGTCTGGGACCTGCAGGAGAGGTTGGCTGCAGCCCCCCTGGGCAGGCTGGTCATATTCAAAGGGCATAGCTTCTTCTGGTGGGGGGCTGTAGCCTCCCAGGCTTGGTTGGGCACCATCCAAGGCTCTGGGCTCCATGAACGCTGGGCCGAAGGCCTCAGGGCCTGCATAGGCCTCACTGAGGGATCCCGGCTGCTCCAGGGTAGGCCAGAAGCCTCCCAAGCTGGGCTGCTTGACCTCGAAGGGCATGGCTTCCTCTGGAGGTGGGCTGTAGCCTCCCCAGGCTCCTGCTTCCTGGAAGGCCTGGTTGAGGCCCTGGAAGTTGGGCCTGGAGACATCTGGGGGTCCATCCGCCGCGCCGTCGCTCTTGATGGCGATGGGCTCGCTGTGAGGCGGTTTGGTCTCCATCTCTTCGGCTGGGCTAGGCCCAGCACTGGGGGCAGCTGCCCCTGGGGCCTCCAAGGGTGGCTGCTCGGGCTGTTCGGGCTGTTCCTCAATTTCAGGGGGGATATCGCGTTGTCCTGACATATTATTGCCGTCGAGGCGGTTGCACATGCCCATAACACGGTGGCGGCTTCTTAAAATAAATTTGGGGCTCCGTAAGACGGAGCACCCAACCAAACTAGGGTGAAAAAATTATTTTAAAAAAAACCAAAGTACCAGCTGGAAGTCCTCCAGCCTCACTTTCCAACCCCTGGGAGGTTGGAGGGTTCAGGGCCGGAACCCTAGACCGTGGCAGAAGCAACACAATTGCTTCTAGTGGAGTCTAGGCTCCTTCCTGGCCACGTTTTATGCCCTCAGGCTTCCCCTTAGCCCCCCACTCCAGTTTGCCCTTGTCCCCTCCTCTCTCTCACTGTCTCTCTCTCTCTGCTCCAGGCCAACACCGCCTGTTTGGATGTAAGAAGCGCGTCGAATCGGTCCGAAAATCGCTAGTAGCGCTTTTTCTCTGCCACCAGAGGACGCAGGGCCCAGTGCCGAGGCGACTCCGGCTGCAGGAGCCGGTTCCCGGAGGCTCCAGGCACCCGCAGCCCCGGACTTTGGGTAAGGGGGCTGGTGAGCGCAGGGATGTTTCAGCTCCTTCCACTCCTCTCTCTCTGACTGCTTTGGAGTCTTTCTCCTCGCTCCTCTTCTGGCCAAAGAGAACGCTCTCCTGCGTTGCGGGACACGTGACGCAAGACGTGGGCCTTGGGACGCTGGAGTACAGGAGCTGAATCCTCCCTCCCCTCGGGGGGGGGGGGACTGCGGGAGGTTTCATCACCTCAAAATACCCCTGAATCCCTGAGCTGTGGCCCCCAGCTCCTAGGCAGCCCTGAGTCTCAAGCCCAAGTCCCGAGCGCAGGGCTTTATGCGATTGAGAAGGGGGTACAAGAGTGCGCGGGGATGCGACAGGTGGTCGTGAGCCCACCAGAGAAGCGGGGTGGGGGGGCTACCGAGTGCAAGCACACAATTTGGTTTTCCGAATGCCTTGGGGTACTTTCTGCCGCGTCTATAGCTTTTGTTTGCCGCTTGCCGATGTTAGCTCCGGTTGACTCCGGTAAAGCACTTTAATGTCCCCCATCCCCATCGGGCTCTAGGGGGTCTCTGCAGTGGCCTAGAGCAGCGCAGGCAGAGTTCTCGTTTATATGGATGATGACGCAGGGGAATCAGAGGGTCTCAAATGTGCGCGCGACACGGAGGGAGAATCAAGGAAAGTCCCCCAGGCAGTAGCATCTGGCCCTAGGGTAGCCGCGGCAGCACCGATTGGGGTGGGGGGTGGTTTCGCGGAGCACATAGGGACCCCATAGAACGCAGACCTAAGAGTTCTGCAGGTCCTATTGTTTTGAGAAAGAGTTAAAGAGGATTTTAGTTGGGGGTTACGGCAGGTATGGGGTGGTCTCGGAAACTGGACAAAACTGTGCGCATTAAATTCACAAATACCGCGCGGCGAACAGTAGCCGAGATGAGCGGCTCCCCGCTTTGGGTGCCGGCTGCAGGGTCGGTCAGTCAGTCCTCCAGCCCTACAACAGCCCCTCTCCTCTTGCTTTGAGTATTCTAGGGCAACCACTTTACTTTTCCGTTGCTAGAGCCCGTTGAAGCGGCACTGATCCCAGCCACAGATCTAGCCACCCGGCCGCGCTCCGTTTGCCGTGCCGCGGTGGGCTCAAAGCCTACAGCAGGTAAATGTCCCACACTTCCTAGTGAGGTGGGGGTGTGCATGCGTACTGCTCTGGATTGGGGTCCGCAAAAGGATTTCCTTCAGGGGAAAAATTGCCACTTATGGGGTTAAGTAAAACCCGGCAGGTGCGCATCAGGTCAGTCTCACTAGTGGGTGACAAAGACTGGCAAGTCACATTTAGGTGCAGAGGAGCGGGACAGGGGACAAGTGGTCATCTGACCTGCTGAACCCTAAGGGGGAGACGGTTCGATGAAGGTTACACAGGGTGGGATGCGGCAAGTAAGGCGCTTGGCGCGCACCGCTCAGTGCGTACAGCTCGGTGCATACCGCGGTATACGAAGCGGAATCGCGGGCGGGCGAACCACCACACGGTCCCATCCTATTAAACCTAATGTAACACATTTCTCAAACCTAATGTAACACATTTCTCTTTGAACCAGGGTACCACAAGGCACAGAGCATCATCACCCCCCTTGCATCCACCACCCACGTGGCCGCGCAGTGCAGAGAAAAGCTAACAAGTTGGACCCTGGGTAACGTTTGGAGCCCGTCAAAGGCGTACCGCTTCAGCTTTACGGATCTACGTATTGCAGATGCTAATCCCGAACTTTGGTCCAAACTTTGGGTAACTATCTCCCCTCAAAACTGCTAAACCACATAAGCATCCACGGACTAGGATACCTGGGTCGCAACAACCAACTCACTCCCCTTCGACCCCAGCACCGGGTCAGCTATTGGGCCGGGGTCATGCCAATCAAGGCTGCCTGGCGAATGAGCAGGGGGCGTCGAACCGGAAACCGGATATGGGTGGGAGGTCCAATAGGGGGCGCCGCGTTGGAACGCCCAAAAAGGTTAAACTGCAGGGGTGGTTGGAAGCCGTTGGTGGGGGTGGGGGGCGTATGGCGGCTAGGCCCAGAAGGCCACGAGGACCGCCAGCGCCATGGGGGTCACTCTTCCTGATGCCATAGGTTGCAAAGGCCGAGTGGAGAAGTCGGGGGATCCCAGGGGTCAACCCTTGGGATCGTTGATGGCGGTGGGCTAATCCACCAACAGAGGGGGTCGCCGCTGGGTCAAGGCAAGGAGAAGATCTTCAGGGCCTGGAGGTAGAGGGCCAGGACCCACAGGAGAGGGCTTACTGCGAGGAGCAGCCATGGATGGATAAGGGGTTGAGGCCCCGGGGATGCTGAGCCATGCAGAAGTGGAAGGTCAGTAGATTTGGGATTGGAGCCTCATGGAGGCCGCGATGGGTGCCCTAAAGGGATGGTATGCCCTTGCCAGGCCTCGCGCTCACCCTCAAAGCACCATCAAGGAGCGGGTACAGGGCCTCTGTTCGACATTTTCACGGACCCCTTTGTTCAACATTCTTTAGGGTATTATTGTTCTTTGCCAAGGGCACACATGCATTAAGGTGATAAAGGTGGGTAAATACCAATCCTCAGTCCTAAGGCGTAGAGCAGCATACAAAACGAAAGAAGAGACCTCTAGGGGAAATTTGGAAATCCTGATAAAGAAAATGGCGCTTCAAATGGGCCTACAAGAAAGGATAGACGCCTTGGCTATGTATGGAAGGCAGGGGGATGGGAGACAGTTTGCCTATCAGGAACAAAGGATGGGGCATCGCTGGGTAAACACAAAAAGCCACCTTGGCTGGTTGTGATGCGACAATGGAAGAAAAAGCAAGAGAAATTGGATAGAATTTCTCTGACGATGCCGTGAAGTTTCAGGGCAAGCACCTTTGAGGCGATTTTAGCAGGAAATGGGGAGGACATTGAAAGTTTTTTTGTTTTGCAAATGACTCTAGGTTTAGAAAAGGTAGAAGCAATGTGGAGGATGGTCCTGATGAAGAGAACAAAGGAAGGAGTTAAGCACAAAGGAGGCTATGAGGGGAGAGACCCAGACATGGTGAAGGAAGCAGGCAGGCTAAAAGGAGGGACTGAGGAAGAGCCCCACAGGATCCTCTAGCAATTTCAGTGCTAAAAAAGCAAAAGGCCTTAGGGCCAAAGTGTGGTGTCCAGATGATGGGACACTGGCAGCAGGGCAGAGAAGTCAAGGAGAAGGACTGACAAGGTGATAGAGTCAATTTTGTTTTAGACATGGTAGAGTTGAAGGACGGTTGGGTAGTTGGGATGGAGATTTTTGCCCCTCATTATTGGGGGAAAAAAAGATAAAGGTTATAAATTCAAATTGGTAATCATCCTTATTAGAACATGAGACTACTGGGTTAGATGTAACTCTCCAGGGGGGAAATATATTGTTATTGAATCTTGAACATTTGGAGCCCTGAAGAGGAAACAGAAGGCAGTCCTAGAAAGGGCCCAGAGGCACATGGAGGAGGGGTTTTCAGAACCATTCAGCATATCTAACATAGATGGTGGTTTCTTATCCTCTGCTCTGGTGGCATCTATGGCCAGCTAAATCTTTGTGGTGACTGTCCTGCACATTGTAGGATACTGAGCAGCATCCCTAGCCTGTACCCACTAGATGCCAGTAGCATCCCCTTAGTTTTAACAACCAAAAATGTCTTCAGGCTTTGCCAAGTGTCCTCTGGGGGGCAAAATCAGCACCAGTTGAAAAATCACTGGTATAAACTGAGAAAGGACCCTTACACTTGAATAGAAATTGCCTTAATTTAAAGGGAAAGTAGGACCCGGAAGAATAAATCTCATTATTTAATCCTGTTGTTTCTTTTTTTCCCCACCCTTGTTTATTTCTCTAGTGACTGGCTACCAGAATCTGACAACTCTAAACCCTTTTAATAAGTGGGATTAAGACCAGCAACTCCACTGCACATGAGCAGTAGGGCTCCAGAGAACTCCAGAAGTGTGGCCAGACATGAGGCGACTGGTGACCTAGCCACAGGGACTTGAGGAACCTGGTGGGGTAAGAGCAGGGGTGATCTGTTGACTAGGGGCCACCCTGATTGGTTAGATTGTCTGGTGAGCCCCTTGAGGGCTGGCAGTCTTGCTGGTTTAAGACAGAAGGATGGCCTTGACCTGGAAGGCTATGGCCAGGGATGGGTATTGGTGGGCGACCTAGTGTGGGGCCTAACCCCACCAGGGGCATTGTTTTTTAGGATCTGGCATTGTAACTGTATAATGTAAAGTACCTTAAATGTAGATTTCTAATTCCAAGTGGATTTCTATCATGAGAAGAGTAAACATTTGATAGGAATGAACAGCAACCAGGAAAGAAAGTCTATTCATGGTTTTATAGAGCTAAGGGAAAGGAAGTCAGGATAATTTAGTGCCTGAAAAAAGGCTCAGTTGGGAATGAAAGACGAAAGCTATGTGCTAAGGCCTTGACCATCTCCTGAGAGAGAATGTGCTAGAGGGAAGGGCTGCACAGTAAGATGATGAGGTAAGCAGGAGAGGATAGGATTGGCTGTCAAACCCCAGGTGATGGTTTCTTGAAAATTGTATATTCTTGACTACATGGAAATCATAGATTTTTCTATACTTGATCAATTAAGAAAAGAATGGGAGATGACTACTCACACATCCATTAACCTTTGCATTTCTGGAAAGTCAGCCCAAACAGGCCCAACGGCGCAGGTGCCACAGGTAGCAAGTCAGTAGCTTTTTGTAAACAACCCTAAGGGAGAGTAATGTCTTTCTTTCCTGTTGATGCTCTGAACAGTGGCAGCATTACAGTGGCACTGTCACCTGCTGTGACATGGCTTCCTTCCTTGGGGGCCACGTGTGGTACCCTTGGCTTCCTGCTATATTGACAGCTCTATGGCACACAACCTGTGATTGTGTTTGTAGTTACTTTTTGGGATTGTTACTCATTGCTAAAAGCACAAGGAGCACCCAAATTTTAGGTCAGTCTCTGTCAGCTTTCTCCCTAGAGTCCCTTGAGAGAAAAGGGGGTGGGTAAGAGGGAAAGAAGCAGAAACCAGGGCAAGCAGTGCTTTTGGGCAGTTTCCTTTTGGTCTGTGGCTTTGAAGGGGCAGTTTGCAGAAGAGCTTTCTCTGTAGCCCATTTATGCCATTAGTTGTCAGCAAGTTTCTTTTAAAAGGGGAAAGGAAGATCTTTTCACTAGTTATAAAGAAAAGGCAAACGCAGAAGAATAGAATACAGAAAAGAGAATTTAGGCAACTATTAAGTTTCTCATCTTCCCAGTGACAAATGTTTTCTGAGTGCTGACTGAATAGCAATAAGATTTTGAAGCTGTTCAATTAATTACCGTTCAATTAAGACTTGCTGCTGCCATCCTTTTCCCTTCCGGCATCTCCTTTGCCAGCCTTGGCCGGTGGAGGCAGCAGCATGCTGCTGTCTGCAGAAGGGTCTGCATGACCAGGCTGTTTCAGGCAAATGCCAACTAAAGGAAAAATGCTTCAAACGGATAAGGCAGAGCACTGGGTTAGGGGCAGAACCAAGACTGTTTATATATTATAAACAGTCTATTCTATTTCATAATATATAAACAGTCTTTGTAAAATGCTTCATCTGCTCAGATTAAAATGTTCCCAAGGTGAATTCATATCCCTTTGCTCAGCTCACTAGCAATGGCTCAGCAGCCCTCTGGGAAGGGCCACAAATGCTGCTTCAGTCAGGCTTCCATTGTTGTGTGACCACACGGGTTTGTACAGTGGGTCCAGACATTTTGTCTGTGGTGGCCTGAACTGAGTGGTGGATTCCTTCTCCAGACTCGCTGATGATGCAGCAGAGAATTTCATGGGGAAAGTGGCCATTCCAGAAAAGATGAACAGCACCATGGGAAGGCAACTACAGGAGGCGCCGGGGTGGAGGAGGGGCGGGGGCATCCGGGAAGGTAAATTTGGCTTTAGTGGAAGCTCTATTTAAAATTTCTGTAACTCGATGGTGGATATTCCAGCCACCATGGGGGCTTCTGTGCAACATTTCTTAAATTTAAGGGGAATGGTGTATTTCATCTTCTTGCACAACCTCAGTTACCCAGAACAAATTTTCCTAATGAAGTCTAATTGAGACAGCAACATAAGCCAGGACACTCAGAAACCAGATGTTGCCTGTGGGGGAGGAGAAACTTGTGGTCTTCAGCTAGCTGACAGTCTTGGCCTGTGCTCTTAACAGCCCTCAAGTTTGACCTGAACTGAAATCTAGGGCTTAGCATTTGAATTAGACAGCAAGTCTCCTTGGTGTCAAATCTTTTTTTTGTTTGGATGAAGTAGTTGAGGTACTTGTATGAAAACTCCACTGCACCTATGAAATTGGAATTTCTGGGCCAGGTCTGTAGGAGATTTTCAAGGAACGGCAGCAGTAGTAAAGGTGATAAATAACAAGGCCTTTAATAGCTTCCAGTGCTATTCTTTGTTAAAAATGCTTGTCCTAATGCTGAGGTGAAACCTGACCCTTTACTCCCCTCTATGGCCACCAGATATTTGAAGCTTGCTACTTTATGCCTTCAAACTATTCTATAAGTCCTAAAATTTCTTGGCTTTGTGACCCCCACCCCATTTCTAAATCTTCTCTTCTGCTCATTCTTGGGGATTCCCTTACCTCCCCAACATCTTCCTTTATTTTCTATGACCCCTCATAACTTTTTTTCTTCCTCAACTCTGTCCCCACATTACTGCTGCCACCTACTCTGTCTGTAAAGCCTAGGCTCACCCTGGCCTTTCTGATGGCCATGGCCCCCTGCTAATTTGTATCACATTCACCCTAAAATAAGCCCACAGAATAAACACACAAGCTGCACCCCACTTGACACTGGGCAGGCAGCCTCCCCAGGGCTACCCGGGAATAGTCTGCATGCAGAGGGTCATGGTGCCAGCTCCCCTCAGGTGTCCTGCCTCTGCTGGCTGAGCACTACCAACAGGTGATGGTGGCCCTGCACTGCAGACTCCTGGCTTTGGGAAAACTAAGTCACTAGGCTGTTCATACTGCTTCTCTGCCCTGTGGATTAACTAGGCACTAGTACTCTGACCAGCATAGCTAGCTATTGGGGTTTTTGAAAAAAAACCTCAAGTTTTTTAAAAAGAAAACAAAACACCAGTAATAATTAGCCTTTTTATGTGTAAGGGGGGGAAATCTTAAATTATAAAACAAAAATGTGATGTTAAGTCACGTGATTTGACAGAACTTTTCTTTGAGACAGAGTCTCACTATCACCCTGGGTAGAGTCCTATGACATCATAGCTCACCACAACCTCAAACTTTTGGGCTTGAGCAATCCTCTTGCCTCCAACTCTCTTGAGTAGCTGTTTTTTTGTTTATTTGTTTGTTTTTAAGCATTGCTTTGTTTATCCCATACATTTGCAAAAGACGCAACATTGGTTTTGGGGTGTGTGCAAAAAGACAGCTGTCATGAGGTCCTACAGTACATAAATGTAATATAATATATGTCTATGGTATTAAAATGTCATGGGAAAGGGAAACTAGGAAAAGAAAAACCTGCATAGGGCGGCGCCTGTGGCTCAAAGGAGTAAGGTGCTGGCCCCATATGCTGGAGGTGGCGGGTTCAAACCCAGTCCTGGCCAAAAAAAAAAAAAAAAAACCCTGCATAATCTGGGGGCTGGGGAGTGATAATGAAAAAACATTGATTGAAAAACTGTTTTATCCTAACTAGCTGCAACCAATAGGCCATTTTTTCAGATCTAGTTTAATCAGGACACTTAAAAGTGTTACCAAATAATATATTCAACACTTGTGGTCACTTAACCAATGTTCCCATCAGGCTGCTGTCTTCTCAAGTGGCTGCATCTCAGTGCTGCCATACCAGCACAGGACGCATAAGCCCTGCTGGTTCCTGGCCCAAAAGGCCTGTCCTCAGATGCTAAGGTCAGGGAGAGAAGGGGGTGGGAAAAACCACTTTAAAAAACACTAAATCCTATTTGCTCTTCAGTATGGCCAATTTTTCTCAGTTTAGGAACAGGACACAGTGGAATTCTACATACTATAACCTGCCTCTTTAAACCATTTTTGCCACCAATTGAAAAGCAGATTTGACAAAATTAACATTAGAGCAACACAAACCAGATTTCTTCACAGCTGGTGCTTTTTATTTGATCAACTTTTGAAGTTTTCTGGATTCCATTAATGTTAAAATCACTGAGAGAGAGTCAAATTGAGCAACCCCAGGCTTCTAAACCTAATCACCCTGCACACAAATGGAGCAGAAAGGGATATAGGAACATCTCACCCAGCTACTTCTTTTTAGAAGAAACTGAGGCAGTGGGGTGTTAGGTCTGACCTAAGGCCACTCCACAGGACAAAGGCTAGAGGCACCTGGGCTGCTTGGGCATTTTGTTTTACATCCCGCTGCCCCAGTCTGGGGCATCAAGATTTAAGAAATAGTCATTAATATCAAAACCCCACAGCAGGACAAGAAATTCCATCCCTCATTCTGGAACACAGGGATTAAAGGTGTAATTTGAGAATCGCCTCCCTTTGCTGGGCAGTTTTTTAGAGAAGGGCAGCACTTGGGCTGGCATGACATTACTGGCCCCTGGTAGACTGCTATGATTTTAGTGATTTGGTTTTTAATAGGTCACCTTCTTAAAAGACATACTTTCCCCACACCATGGTTTCTGCTCAGTTTCCTCTCAGTAGTGTGTCTCTCTTGAAGAGCAGTGATAATCCTGGCAAATTAAGTAAAATCCATGCAGATTATTAAAAAAAAAAAAAACCTTCATTCTTACCAACAATGATGTTTCAGCTTCTTTAAACTTCTGTCACAGCTGCTAAAAATGAAAGCTAGAGTAAAGGGCTGTAAGCAATTCCAGGATAAAAAAGCTTCTTGTGCATTATAGAAACATCTTAAAACAATTGCAAACTTTAAAATTTCTAATTCCTGAATTTAATAAACATAGATTTAAACATTTTGTTTGCAAACTTTAGACAAAAAACTTAAGTACATCAGGTTGTTGACACCACACACTATTTGAACATTGTTACATAATTTTAAAAAATTCATTTACAAGAGCACCAATGACCCCTCACCCCACCCCAACCCCACCCCCGCAAATTTCCATTAAGCAAATGATGAATGTTGTAAAGACGCTTTACTGTGGGGCAGACCATCTCGTTTAGCTGCTTTACTCTCCTCCTTCTCATCCCCCTCTTTGTCTCAGCATTTGAAACATTGTAACTGCCAGGGAATTTACCTAAGTGGTTAAAACCTGTTAAGGTTTGCTTTTTTTGAGAGCAAATCCTCACACCCCACCTATGTAAAATGGCAAGTCAGCCCATTTAAATGCTAACCCCGGATTAGCTGGGTTAAACAAAGGGCCAGTTGGGAGACTAATGAATTGGGAATGCTTGAAGAATTTGCTAGAAAAGTCTGGAAAAGGGAGGCAGCTGGACACCAGTGGCTTAAACAGAGAGGTTTGCAAGTATATATGGCAAAATCCCCTCTCCCCGGGGTGGGTCATGGGTGCTTTCTTCGCTTGCTTTGTAGGACCCCTCATGGTTTTTCCACCCCGGAATCCTAGCGGAAAGAGGGGGGTTGGGGGCGGGGAACTGAATGGGGGCGGTGTCTGAATGGGGGCGGGTGTGTGCCGTAACAGGTTTTTACCATCAGGACATCTCTACTTTTGACTCTGAGGCAGTTGTGGAAGAATGAAAGAGAACTGTTTCTTTTAGCGACCTCCCCCCACCCCCAAATATAAAAGCCTGGGGCATTGCTTATAGTTAAGGAAGCCACCCTCCCCTGTCAGCCCTTCTATTTAAAAAATAGCAAGACGCGGTATGAGGTGTGTGCTAAGCACCTCCGACTTTTAAAAACTTGTTTATTCATCCGGCAGCAAGGCAGTATGCTAATTTTATGCAGGAAAACCCGTCCCCTAAGACTGCCTAGTCTGTGAAGGTGGTTTCCACACTGAAAAACACACCAAAATTTTTTAACAAAACCTCTGGCTTCTCTTGCCTAGTCTCCAGAGACCTCTAAGACATGACCAGAGGAAAAACAGAATGCCTGATTTCACAAAAAGGAAGACGTCATCATTGTTTACATTAAGCAGGAATTTCAGTTCAGGGGGGCTCCATTTCACTAACGCAGTTTCACGATTCCAAGCCCAAATCAGGACACACCTAGCCCTTCTGCAGTCTCCAGACTTCAGAAATGCTGCCAAAGGAAGCCCTTTGCTAACAAACTGCCTTGCCCCTATTTGCTGTCCAAGACCACTGACACAGCTAAGTTCCGGGCACTGCAAAGCCTTTCCTAAGGAGTAGGTCCTGGAAGGAAGACCTTTTAAAGTGTTTTCCTTCTAGCACCATCCTTTTTTTAGAAGTTTAAGAATTTGACCATGTTTCAATTCAAGCCGTCAAAATACTTTACTTATCCCCCCCCCCAAATCATTCTCATCAGAGTAACTCAAGTAACTGCGCAAAACGAGACGAGCACGCACCAAAAGGTGGGGGGTGGGGAGCGGGAACGAAAAGATCAATTTCCAAGTGGCGTGAGGTTTTGTAAATACACTTCACTTATCAGCCTTTTCCCCCAGGGTTGGAGCTGAGGGCCACCGGATTGCTGCTTTTTTGTGATGGGTCACCAAAGCAGTTTCCCTCCAGGTTAGATTCCAAACTTAGCTGAAAATGGCCGGGGCACACCGTCTCCCCGCCTCCCGCGCCCGGCTGCTGCTGAAGCCACTGGCCCCTGCCCCCTCTCGACCGATCGCCCCAAGGCGGAACCAACACCTTTCCCCAGCTCAGCGTGTGTTGCGTTCTTTGAGGACATATTATACGGTGTCCTCATGATATAACGCGAACCCCCCTCTCCAGCCCATTCCTTGCTCCGCTTTACCCTTAACGCTCCCGACCACCTCAAGGGCCTCTTAGCCTCTCTCTCTCCCATCTCCAGGGCCTTGCGCAAACAGCCCAGGACCTCTCCAGCCAAGCCGCAAGCAGTCCCGCCGCCAGACCAGCTGCGCCAAAAGGTTGGCAATGCCCCGACGTGACCAAATCTTCTCCACCAACCCTGGTAGCCTGTAGGAGCACCCTCTAAGACCCATATACACCCCCTGTCTGCCCTCCAGGTACCGGGGACTCCAGGGAAGCCGCCAGCAAGCTAGGAGAGTTTGGCTCTGGGGCGCACGGACAGGTGCGCACACTCTCTGCAGCGGTCTCTGGCCCCGCGAGCGCCCAGAGGCTGGCGGTGGCGGGGAAGACTGACGCGCGGCAGCCGAGGCACTGGTGCCAAGATCCCGGGCTCCAAATTGGCAGCGCCGGGACCTGGGCTCCAGCCTCTGATCCCTTAAACACCGTGTGCGTGTGCGACTTCCCTGAGTTCTCGCCCAGTCCCATTCTGATTACTTTCCACACATTGCAACAGTGTCGCTACGGCGGCTGCTCTTGAATCGCAAAAGTTGGCGCGCATACTTCCGAACCACATTTCGGGTGCCTGCCAAAGCAAACTCATTTGAGACTAGGTGAGAAAAACAGCTAAAACAAGTGACTTACCAGTGCCGTTTCCGTGCGCAGGTAGAAGCCGGGGACGCGCTCAGGATTCACTCGCGCGTCCGGGCACCAGCCAGAGACCTCAGGTTGTCTCCAGCGGGACGCAAGGAGCGCCCCGCCGTCCAACAAGCCTTTGGCCACCGGCAATGGCCCCCTGGGGAGATTTGGGGAGCCTCTCCACCCAACCCTGACCTCCGATCCTGGGCTAGCTAGCCGACCCCGCTCTCTTCCCACTTTCTCCTAACCTGCGTTTTCTCCCTCCCTTTCTTTCACCGCCCTCAGACCCCAGTTTAAGGGTAGTCAACTGACCTGAATCCATGAAAACAAGGAGAATCTGGACGGCGTCCTCCATTAGTGACGCCGGATGGGGATGGGCCCCTTTTTCTTCGGGGACTCCGGGGACGGGTCGCGGCGGGGGGACTTCTTCGGCTTGCAGCGGCGCTGCCGCTTCTTCTCCTTGGACTCCTCGGACTCTTCGGGGTTCCTCGGATCCTGGTACTCGGGCTCAGGCGTTTTCTCGGGCTCCTCCCCCTCAGTGGTGTTCTGGGGCTCCTGAGTGCTGGGTCCTGCGCGACTTGGGGAGGCGTCGGGGCTTCGCAACTTGAGAGCTTGCAGTCGCTCGGTTAGAGACTGGGGGAAGGTGGACTGCTTGGGCACCACGGGTCCTCGCTCGTCTTCCGGCTCGGTCTCGGGCTCAGTGGTGGGAGCGGTGTCGGTCTCGGTCTCGAAGTCGGTCTCCGACTCTATTTCAGACTCGGACTCGGACTCGGACTCGGTCTCGTACTCGAAGTCGTCTTCGTACTCTAGGCACTCAGGGAGGGACGGCTCGAAGTCTACCTCCTCGGTCTCGCGGTCAGATTCGGATTCGGGGGAATCAGGGTATACCTGGGCGCCGGAGCGGTGGTGGGCGTTAAGGAAGCTCCGGCGCTGCTGCTGCTGCTGCTGCTGCTGCTGCTGCTGGGCAGCCGCGCGCTGCTGGGCGCGGGCGTTGGAGGCAGCAAGGGCGCGGAGGAGCGCGATGGAGCAGGAGAGCCAGAGGAGTGCGGTGGCTGTCCGGCGGCCGATGGGTGGGCAGAGATCGTGGTAATTATGGCGAGCTCGGCGCCACTGGTGAGCCCGGGACCTCCGATCCATCCTCTTAGGCACACACGGAGAAGCCAACCGACCCTCTGGCTCTGCAGAGAGCGGCTCCGATGCGCATTGGCGGCAAGAGCCGAAAAAGGTGCACCTCACGAGGTGAGGAAAAAAAGGGAAGAACCTACCTTCCTGACCACTTCAGAACTTTCTAAAGCTCCGTGCCACTGCTTGCCTCCAAGGAAAAAGAAGGAATGGGGAAGAGTCTATCTCCTCTGGGGCTCCTCTCTCTAAGTCTCAGACCGCAGAGTCTGAGACTCGGGAGAGGTGCCTCCGCTGATCCTCTCGCCTGGGAGAGGAAAGAGGAGACTGAGGCGCAGAGAGCTGGGCAGTGAGGTACTGCGAAGTTGCGCGCCCGGACTTCTGCCGGGCATGTGCAGTAGCGAGGTGGGGGCCGCCTCCCCGCGAGCTGCGCGGTGGCGCCAAGCCTGTGGCGCAGACCCTAGTGGGCCGGCAGGTGGCAGGAGGGAACCTTGTTTGAGAGGATTTGGATGAAAAGACGACGGGGGTTTCTGTTCCTGGTGGGTACCAACAAGCAAGCAAACATCTCGCCACAGGTTTGAGTACTTAGGCAATTGGGCGTGGGTTGCCCACGGGGTCGTGCCCCTCCCCAGCTTCTCCAGGGTTACTGATGGAATGGACGCAGCCCCAGAGCAGCTGAAAAGTAGTCTGCAACGGTGCAAGTATCCAGGGGAACGAGGGTCTGTACGTGAGTATTAATGGTCTGGCTAGGGGCATTTTCCAAGGGCTTAATAGTTTGAGGATGGTAATCTCAGGTTGTCATTAATCATGAACCACCGTTAGACTATAATTAGAGAAGTTTCAAAAGATACACACACACACATACACACACATATATATGCCCAGCACAATCCAAATGGGCTAAATAAGTATCTTCCTTATGAAGGGCCCCCACACTGGAATCCATAGTTAACAAGTCCCCAAACCCATCAAGGACCCCCTTGAGTTCTTTCCAGCAGAGAACTCATGCTGGAGGACAGCCCTAAGCAGAGGGTGTTGGTAATGGGCAGACTTTACTGCACTGTCAGTCTGTCCACCCACTCCCTGCTCCGTGGGGCAATGAGGTTACCACCAAATGCTCACTGGATGCCCCTTACAGCTATTTCTTAGTTAGATTTTTAACAAAGGTAATTCTTTCAGCAAATATTCATTGAGTGCCCAGCACATGCTAAGATCTGTTCCAGGTGCTGAAGGTGAGTAAAAGAGAAAATCTTGCATTAAGGAAAGGATCTTTCACATTAGTCTGCTGTTAATGAAAACATTAAATCAGTCAGAATCCCTCCTTACCCACCAACAGTGTTTAATGGAGCTAGAATTCCACGTGAGAAAACAACTGAATAAGTGTGAGCAGCAGGGCTAGGGGGCAGCCAGACACCACTGGATCACGCTGTTGAGCTCCGCAAAGGCTACAGAGCGGGAGTGAATTAATACTCTTTCTCAGCCCTGGAAAATCAAATGAGCTTCACAGTGTAGGGGAGGGGATCCCTGCGGTGGAAAGCTCTTGAATTCCATCTGTAACCTGCTTCTTTCAGGGTGTGTGTGTCTTCAGTCTTGCCTTCCTTGTTGAATATGGAGTGCCCCTTTCTCAGGGCGCATTGTGGAAAAAATCAGGAATGTGCAGGTGCTGGTAAATATCCTTTCAATGGAAACTAATGCCAGATGTAAGTAAGGAGGTGGATCATGGAGCTTTAGTGTGCATAAGAAAATAATTCCTTTTCAGATGGAGTGCTTTATGCTTATAGTGGAGATGGCAGCCCAGAGCCGATACAGCTTAGAGCAAAGCCATCTTCCTGGAATCCATGGAAGTGTCAACAGTGAATTTCAAAAAGGAGCAAGTGGGTGATGAACAGCCTCGGTTGTTACCAGGCTGAGCAACAAGGGGCTCTTTCTGACTGCCGGTAAATAAAGTGTGGACATATATCGCCTCACTTGGGACACATGTCATGGGTCAATACGAGGAGACTGAAAGAAGAGGCACTACCTCTGGGTGATCTACCCGGCGTTCCCTCCTGTGCTTCTTCCCGGCGTCTGACAGTCAGGCGCCCACAGCTGCTCCTCACCATGGCAGAGCGTCTCCTCACACCTTCGACACCATGCTTGCTTTAAAGCTGAAAGGTCAGACCTTAGTATGTGTCTAGCAACTGCTTTTAATGTGTTGAGGTTTTTATTTCTGTGTCTTGGCTATGTCTATTTTGTATCTTGTGTTCTGTGAGTTAGTTTGTAGTATTAAAATACTGATTGGTTTAATAAAGTGGGAGTGATGTGGAAAAACCTGTAAAAGGACAAGTGTCTATATTTTAGTTGTGCTCCACTCTCACACTTTCCAGAGAAATGGAAAGGGTTTTATTATCACACATGCCTGCATGGCTTTAAGCATTGTGTGGATATTAATATGGGACACTGGACACAGAGGTGTTTAGAGCTATATATTTCAAATCCTGATCACCACTTCTCAATCCTGACAAACAGGATATATCTAAATGGAGCTATATATTTCAAATCCTGATCACCACTTCTCAATCCTGACAAACAGGATATATCTAAATGGCCTGTCCACATTGGTCCACCTGCTTTATTTTTTTTAACTAGCATAATTCCACTGGCAGTGTATGGAGTAAAAACATTGCTCAAGCTGATTTCAGGACTCACTGGGGGAAAAAATCAGGAATATATGGGTGCTGCTATTTACCAGCCCCTTTCAGTGAAAACTAATGCCAGCTGTCAGCAACAAGGTGGATTATGATTCTTTAGTGTATGTAAGAAAGTACATCATTTTTCAGATGGAGTGCTTTATGCCTATAATGGAGATGGCAGTCCAGAGCTGATTCACTAATATAGATACACCAAGATTGCCTGCATTATTAAAAAATGTGCATTACATAATACATATTTTTGGACTAGATTCTGCATGAGCGATGTGCTTTCTTTGCAAGATGCCTTTTAATCAGCAATCGAACATGTAACAAAACACTGCATTTTTGATCCCCAGTCCTGTTGAGTTAGAAATTCATTTCAGCGTACGTTGAGCACAGTCTCTGGGAGGAAGGAAAGGGAACTACACTGAAATACTGTTCTGTCCTGCAGTTAGTGCCGAGGTTGAGCAAATGGAGCTGTGCAGAAGATGCTTTTTAAAATGCATTACGTGCATGCCTTTAAAAAGTGCTTGCTGCAGAGTGAATTTCAAAAAGGAGTAAGTGGGTGATGAACAGCCTGGGTTGTTACAAGGCTGAGGAACAAGGGGCTCTCTGACTGCTGGTAAATAAAGTGTGGACATATATCACCTTGGGGGCTCTGCTGGAGGGAGAGGGAGACTCCTAAACCAGTTGGACAGGAAAGCACAGTTCGAAGCTCATTACAGCATCATACCGTAAGGTTCTTATTTGGATGAATTGTAAAGAATATTGTCTTCAGCCCTATAAAGGATTATGTGGGAGAGGTTTTAAGATTTAATTTTTATGTGACTCCAGAGGGCAAAATTAGAACCTATGGGTGATAGTTACAACAGATAGTCTTTAGCTCAGCACAAGGAAAAATATTCCAACAGTTAGGGCTCTGAAAAGGAGTGGACTGTCAGGAGGTTGTTGGCTCTTTGTCAGAAGCAGTGTGAAATCAAAGGACAGATGACCACATATTAGAGATGTTTTCCACGGTGCTCATGATCTGGGTAGAGCTGGAACTTGATGCCCACCAAAATCTTCAACTCAGCTTCTGATTCCATTAAAGGCCTCTGGGGGCTGTGGGTGAGGGCCTTGGGGGCCTATTGGTGGACACAATCTCGCACTAGAAAGAATGTTTGGGTAGCAGTTTTAAGACACAAACAGCTGCATGTGGATGGAGCCTGTAGGGAAGCTCTCCTAATCGAGGCAGAACTCAGAGACTGTTCTACAACTCACTTGTTGAAACAAAGAAATTAATCAAGTCCATCTATTAATTACATTGGTCCTCTTTCCCTCCCCACCTTGAGCTGTCTCAGAAATAACAAATGAAATTGGCTATTTAGCAGGCAAGAATTGAGTCACTTCTATGACCAAGACACTATTCTGGGCATTGTGGAGAGATGGAAGTAACTGATGATGCGTAATTCCTGCCAACCAGCAGCATATTTGTCAATGTGAAGTGCCCCTAGATATTAAAAACAGATAGCCAACAGGTGCAGAATAAGAAATTTCACAGCTAGATAGACGGGGAGGGAAGTTGAGTAACTGTGATTAGAATCAGAGGTCGGGTTCATCTGATGGTCTTCTGAAAGAGGTAGGTTCTGACCTGGTCCTACTTTTAAGATTTCCTTTTGATTTTTTAAAAACCTAAGAGAGAATTGCTTTCAGTCCCCTGTACCTACTCGTGTGCCCACCATGTGCAAAGCCGCATGCTGGCTACTCTGGGGAGATAGATGAGTCATAGGAGTTTTCAGAAGATTTGGAGGCTATTGTCATGGGTCCCAAAGACATCAACACATTTTCCAAGATGAGACTCAAGATAATGGATTGGTTTTGCTCTGCCTGGATAGTGGGTATAATCACTCTTGAACATATTTTTTGGACAGTCATTGGAAAGAATTATTTCAGGAGATGGAGAGCTTTTCAAACTTTCCGACAAAAATGAATTCAAAGAGTTTGAAGTGCCCCCCACCCGTCTCTGTGGCAATCAGCTACAAAGGCTCAGCCCCACTGAGAATTTGTCAGGGGCCCCTCCTGCCTGTTCTCCCAAAGAGGACTGGGTACAATACAAAAGCATTTGGCTCATTTCTGTAGGATGTTATTTTGCTGTTATTCAGACTGCACTGATGATCAATGGGCTCTCACCCGTAGAAAGGGTGAAAACCCTGAGCTTCTGATTTTGTTTGTGATTTGGGAACATACTGTCTATGTCTAAAAGCAAACAAGAGGGTGAAATACTCACTTTTTTGACATGGCTAGATTCTGTCCAGGCCATTGTTGGGATTACAATAATTATGTGTGCCATTCATTTTGGAAGGGAGA